TTTTTCTCTCGTAAATGCCATGCCTACACGAGAAAACGTTCGTACGCACGACGTATGATACCTTCTCGTGAGCTTCGTTACCAAAGGATTTAAAAATTTATAGAATTCGATTTTTTTTTCTTCTTTGGCTATTCTCTTCTCATTGATAATTTTTTCTTTTGAATTTAAATTTTCGGTCCTTTTTAGTTATTTATAATGAAATGCAATGTAGTTAGATTAATAAAAATGGTGGATTCTGAATTTTATATTTTGACGTATGTAATTGAGATTTTTTTTCTTTGTATTTATGAGAAAACGATAGGATTTTGGCTACATTATATATATAACAAAAATAAATTTTGAAAAATACTAGAGGGAGAATCAAGTTATCAAATAAGTTAATTGTTGGGAATAATCAAATAAGTTAATTTTAAGCGCAATGAAATGGACTAACTTAACAATGAATTCATTGGGAACTTAAACCAAATAATAAATGCTCACATAAATTACCGACGAAGATCTGTCTACGATTGCCAATGCTCAATATTCGATAAGAATAATTAAAAAATATATATATAATATTAATTGATTTTTTTTTAATAATACTATAAATACTTGCCGAATTACTTAGGATGCGACGTGATTCACGTTAATAGGCCTGCCAAACCATATATAATCACAATATTTATGTGTGTGCGTATAGGTATTCTAATTGTATATGTTCAAACTATTGCCAAACAGCAGCTAGATCTGACTTTCCAATTATATATTTAATTTTGGCAGCCCACGTTCATCAATATGTCATTCTTTTATATTATGATGAAGCTGATAATTATGAATACAGAAAAAAATGATTTCCAATGTATAATAATATATCAATTCTACAGAGAAAACCAGAGTTAGATATTTTCTCTCTTTATATGTTATGTTTTAACATTTTTTTACTTAAAACTATAAGCAAAGGCTTAGGGGGGGGGAATATCTAAAATAAATTCTCCAAATACTTTGGTTATATTAATTTATTGGCTACTTTCTATTCCATAAGTTGTAGAAACCATGGTTTAAAATTTTCCATTGTGATGCAATTTTTAAAAATTGTATTACGAATTAATTAACCTATGTGCAGTAAATTTGCTGACAACATTTGTAGGACTTCAAAAATAAATAAAAAATTTATATTTATCCATTTGTCAGTAACATTAACAATACGATGTATTAAAATACACGAAAACTCTAATATAAGAAAGTAACTAGTAATTCAATCTTTCACTAAATTACCCCCCTCTTTTTTATTTCACACATATGACAACAAATAAAATAATAATAAAAACTATAATATAAACCATGGATGGTTCTTACTAATAATCAGTTCTTGCTTCGGGATTTGCAGATACCAAAACTCACAGTCACATGGCAATCTTCAAGACAGTTCTTTTGAGAGAGAGAGAGAGAGAGAGAGAGAGAGAGAGAGAGTTTTTACATTATTTTGTTAATAAAAAAAATGAATGTTTGGAAATAAAAAACAAATGAATGTTTTATGTACAATGCCCTGAAAAAACAATAATTCCTATAATCATATTATCTCAACCGAAATTGGGGGTAAAGGCTTTTATTAGCTAATTATGAATGATTTTTTTATTTAAATTTAGACCGTAAATTAGATTAAGGAGAATACTAATATAAATACACCTTTGTGATTTTATTCCTTCCGAGTAATAAATTCATGGATCTCTCGAACTTGTAAATATAGATATGAAATTGTATCGCATACAACATTTGTTGAAATGCTAATGCTAATAATAATAATAATAATAATAATAATAATAATAATAATAATAATAATAATAATAATAATAATAAGGGAAAATCCAAAAAAAAAACACTGGACTTTACAATTTTGACAAAAAAAAAACACTGAACTTTTTATTTTATCAAATAAACATTAAACTTTTTAAGTTTGACAAAATAAACACTTAACTCTTCTATGATTGTCAAAATAAACAAAATGAATGACGTGGCCCAATAAGATGCAAACACGTCAGATTATTTTACTTAGTTTTTTTTTACAACCGAAAAAAGTTCATGTATTTTTTTGGATCACTAAAAAAGTTCAGTGTTTTTTTGATAATCGTAGAAAAGTTTATGTATTTTTTGGATCATTTATAAAGTTCAGTGTTTTTTTAGATTCGTTTAAAAAATTTAATATTTATTTGATAAAAAATAAAATTCAGTGTTTTTTTATCAAAATTGTAAAGTTCAGTGTTTTTTTTTTTATTTTCCCTAATAATAATACAAACACACGTGAGTGAGTCGGTGGTAATATTTTTTTTTCAAAAAATGATCAAATAAAGAAATGGCACAAAATTACAAAAAGTGAAAATGAGAAAGGCAGCCACTTTGTCAAACAGAAAGAAAAATGTCAATTTTTTTTCTCTCGTAAATGCCATGAATTTGCCACGTCTAATCAAGCTAGACTTGTCTTCATTTAGGTAATTTTCTTGTTATAAAATTTCGATTGGACTATATAGTTTATAATCATATACAGAAACTAGAATACATGCCATTAATGTTTTTTTTACTGAAAATTCAAATTTATATAACCAAATCAATGTATAAAATATCCCTATTAGGAAAGATATTATAAGTGATAAGAATAACAAAATAAAGAATTGGAAATGGTTAACATTCAGTAATTACATTCTTTCCATAAGGTGTTATAGAGATAATTTAAAACAAATTTCTTCTATTCTCCAGATATAAGTTTTTACCCTAAATAGGGAAAATTCAGGCCTGTATTTTTTATATCAAGCAACTAAATCGCATGCGAACAAAAAAGTATAAAAATAAGGTATAAGTTGAGATTTCTATCTAAAAAATATAAATTATGAATTAACATTAAAATTATAATATTCCTTAATAATACCGAATACACCACCAATTTTTTAAGATTTCTATTTTATTTTTAGAATTTTATTATTTATATGAGTTCTGCTTGAATGATTTAAGCATATATTCAACGATTATAATAACAAAAGAAAACAATCAAATGCTAAAAATAGTACAGAAATCAATGAAAATATATAGTTTTATGTAAATACGTCATTTTCAAATTGTAATGCAAAAATATACAAAGTTTATTCAGGGGGAAAGAGAAATTATGTCGCAAAAATCATCCATTTAGGAGACTGGCCCAACCAAGACTCGGCCCATAACCCAATTATATGTAAATTTAGGTCGGCCCGTTATGAAGATGTCCACGTGGCGGAAGATGTTTGGTTAAACTAACGTGTACAGCATCCACGTTCATTCAACTACTGCTGAAGAAAAAAAAAGAAGGAAAAAAATCTGAGGGATTTATTATAAATCGGAGCCATCCGTTTCGGAGGTGCTCCGTTCATCTCTCTTTACCTCCTCCGCCGTCTATAGATCGTGAGTAAACCCTTTTCCTATTTGATGATTCTTCTCCTTGTTAGATCTTACATTGTTCTCACCGATCGATTCTTTCTTTCTTTTTTTGTTTCTCCTGGGAAATTTGTAAGTGCTTTCTCGTTTTTTTCTTCTTCAATTTTTTGGTGTAGCTGAATCGGTTATTGTTGCTTGATCTGTGTTTCTCTAGTTGATTCCGTGAAATTTTCGTTGTAGATCTGGTTTTGGAGGAAATTTTAATGGTTACAGATATTCCTTGTTCCAGTCAAATTCACTTTTCAATAGTTCAAACGGGATTTAGTTTTTCGAATTACTTGAAAGCTTAGTATTTTTACCGTAAATATAAGCGGGTTGTTATCTGGATTCGCTTGTTTTATCCTACAGGCAGAAATCATTGATAGGCCAATATTTGGGTTGTGATTTAATTTCTAGATTTGATATCGATTTTGGTTTGCATGTCTTGGGTAGAATTGTTCATCATTAATGCGGGCTGTCTCCGATGTAGTCACCGGAATTTGCTTTTAGGGGAGATTTTCTGGGAAAACGATGAAAGTGATTATATATATATATATTCCTTCCTCCATCAAATATATACTTGGATGTTATTAAATATTTTAGGTTATCTTCATTTCTTTTTATCTATATGATTATATAACATCAATTATTAACTAAAGATTAATGAAATTGGTTATAACTAAAATTTATAATAATATTTCAAAATTTTAGTTAATTTCGCAATTAAACAGTTTTAAATTGTATATTCTTATAGATTATAAAAAACTAAATTTGTATTTAGTTTAAGAACAAATTTTAAAATATTATTTTTTAGTTTTTTGTATAAATTTAACAAAAGCTAAATAATAATTTGAAATTTTATTATGTTATTATAATTTTAGATTGTAACAATAATATTGAATTGATGTATGTTTTAAAAATCATCTATATGATATTTTAAATTTTCTTTTGTTTATTTTTACTCTTTTTTAATCAAATAGTTTTTTTTTTAATTTGGAGTCTTTATAATATAGTTAAGATCTAATATATTATAAAATTGGGCTGTCAATTTTGTTATGATTATTTTGTGGAATGTTTGTTCTATTTTCTTATGATTTCTAAGTGGGTTGTCCATAAATTTTCTCTTTGAACTTTGTATGTGTTTGTGTGTTGTATGATCTAAAGTCACATTGTACGATTCTTCAAAGTTGTTCCTATGAATCATTCATGCATTGCCATTGCTGTCTGAAATGCGATCTTTTGATGTACAGATAGAGAGTTGTGAGCTTGTTCTGTTCTGAATCTTCAATTCTATTTAGGAGATTTCTGTATTACAGTGCTGACCCCTTTTAGCTCTAGATGCATAGAAGTTGATGTGAATGTTGTTTTGAAATACTGCAGAGGCAAATCAATCCTAATCGAGCTTGATTCTTAGAACAACAATGGGAGGAGGATTCAGGGTTTTGCATCTGGTCAGGCCATTCCTTGCTTTTCTGCCGGAGGTCCAGAGTGCTGACAGGAAAGTTCCGTTCAGAGAGAAGGTCATCTACACTGTGATCTCTCTTTTCATTTTCCTTGTATGCAGTCAGCTTCCTCTCTATGGAATTCACTCTACAACGGGGGCGGACCCATTCTACTGGATGCGTGTCATTCTTGCATCAAACCGCGGGACTGTGATGGAGCTTGGTATTACACCCATTGTCACCTCTGGACTGGTGATGCAACTCTTGGCTGGTTCAAAGATTATCGAGGTTGACAACAATGTCCGTGAGGATCGTGCCCTGTTGTAAGTATCGAAGTTCTTGACAGTATAAGCTGGTTTGGAAATTATCGTCATGGACAACCCGTGTCTTATACTTTGTTTTTGTAGGAATGGTGCCCAGAAACTACTCGGTATTCTCATTGCCATTGGTGAGGCTGTTGCTTATGTCCTTTCCGGAATGTATGGTCCTGTTGGCCAACTCGGTGTTGGAAATGCCTTTCTCATCATCCTTCAGCTTTTCTTCGCCGGGATCATCGTCATCTGCCTTGACGAGCTTCTTCAGAAGGGATATGGTCTTGGCTCAGGCATTTCCCTTTTCATAGCAACCAATATCTGGTAAGTTAGGTTTTATTATTCATCATATCAAAGGTTTGTTCTTTCTGTAGCATCATGGTTCTTACACTATGTACCGATGGTGATTGCAGTGAAAGCATAATCTGGAAAGCGTTCAGTCCTACTACCATCAACACCGGGCGTGGAGCCGAGTTCGAAGGTGCTGTTATTGCGTTGTTCCACATGCTGATAACCAAGACCAACAAGGTCGCTGCCCTCCGACAGGCTTTCTACCGGCAAAACCTTCCGAACGTTACCAACTTGCTTTCGACTGTCTTGATCTTTCTGATCGTGATCTACTTCCAAGGATTCCGTGTTGTTTTGCCCGTGAGATCGAAAAATGCTCGTGGGCAACAGGGTTCTTACCCGATCAAGCTGTTCTACACTTCCAACATGCCTATCATCCTCCAATCCGCCCTCGTATCCAACCTTTACTTCATCTCTCAGGTATTAACGTTCTTCCAAAGCCGCTATCTAGTAGAAATTCATCCATCACAGAGCATAAATTCGATGTGGTTGTCAACAGCTTCTGTACAGGAAATTCGGTGGGAACTTCTTTGTTAACCTATTGGGACAGTGGAAAGAATCAGAGTACAGCGGCCAGTCTATTCCAGTCGGTGGCCTCGCTTACTATGTCACCGCCCCGGCAAGGTAAATGCAGTGAATCTTCATCAAAGCACCAGCCTTTCTGTATGACCCATTTGAACAACAAACCTAATACGCCTTTTTTTTTTAAATCCGATTCTGCAGCTTCTCGGACATGGCAGCTCATCCCTTCCATGCTCTGTTCTACATCGTATTTATGCTCACGGCCTGCGCGCTCTTCTCAAAGACTTGGATCGAAGTCTCGGGGTCTTCCGCAAGGGACGTAGCTAAGCAACTCAAGGTATGTTTATCTACAAACATGTTCAGACTGAGACATCTCTCTCTCTCTCTGGGTTTCTGAACTGGGGTGGGGGTGTGTCTGGTAATGAATAGGAACAACAAATGGTGATGCCGGGACACAGAGACTCGAACTTGCAGAAGGAGCTGAACAGATATATCCCGACGGCGGCGGCGTTCGGGGGAGTGTGTATCGGAGCACTGACGGTGTTGGCGGATTTCATGGGGGCGATAGGGTCGGGGACTGGGATACTGCTTGCCGTCACCATTATCTATCAGTACTTCGAGACTTTCGAGAAGGAGAAAGCCAGTGAGCTCGGCTTCTTCGGTTTCTAATGTTTTTTTTAGACAAAAAAATAAGACCTTTTTTGTTATGTACGTTTTTGCTGACCCACAAAAAAAAAAATTTGGAGGGTTTTGGATATAGCTCCTTCCTGATCGACGATCTTTTTTTTTTTAAGTTCTTTCACAAATTTTCTCTAGATTTTATTTTTGTGACGTTTTTTTAATTTAATAATTGCAACATGCCAACAGACGGTTTAGACCGGTACGAAGTAGACATCGTCGTACGGCTGGATACGAAGTAGACGGTTTAAGTCCGGTACAAATCCGATTAGAGCCGAGACGTGGCGTCAGAAACATCGAATGGGCGATGCATCAGAGTCGGCTTTAATCCGATTTGAAACACAGTTTTCTCATTCTTCGCTGAGTTCGAAAATCGGGTTTAATCGGAATTCGATTTTCAAATAACCATTCATGGATTTTTTGGGGTCATTTGTTCGTGAAACCATTATATTTTTTTTATTGAATCCAATGACCGAAAATCGGGTTTGCTTGACCGGATTTATGTCCACCCAAACGGGTTCTATAAGAAATTTTAAAAAAACTAAAACTATTCGATTTTTATATTAAATCTGATTAGGTTTTTATTCATTTCAGTTTTGGGGTTGGATTTAGGTTTTAAAAGGTAAACATTCCATATTATATCTAATTAGAATTATAAATGATTGATTGAATTCGATTTGGTTTGATTTGGTTCAATTTTTTTTTTTTGGTATGTGCGAAAAAACATAAAATAAAATATGAGGGGAAAACTGTGGAGTCTGGTTCGAAGAAAAACCTCTCCCGAATTGTAGGGTTTTGAGGTTTCTCTGTTTTCGTCTCCGTCGTGTGTTTGTCGGAATAAATTTCAGCGAAGAACAAATGCCTCGCACAACCACCGTCGATTGCCCCGGCTGTCCCCCTCTTCGTGCTCTCACCTTCGACTCTCTCGGCCTCACCAAAGGTCTCTCTCTCTCTCTCTCTCTCTCTCTCTCTCTCTCTCGGAGCACCGTATAACAGTTCCAGGGTTTTTCTTTTCTGTACTTGCTATTGGTTATTTTCAGTGATCGAAGCTCGGGGTAGTGAGAGAGGGACTGCAGCCGTGGTCGATAGATGGGGCGACCCGGATTCTTCGAGATGTGTTCTTGCTGCTTCTGTGGATGACCGACACAAAGACCCGGTAAAGTTTCATTCTTTATGTTTATTATCTGTTTTCTGTATCTGGGTCTTTCGGAAAATTACTAGATTGAGCTTGTTTCTTCTTTGTGGTAATGAGCTTTAGCCTTTTGGTTCTTGTTATTTCTCATATTCGTTGTCCTGGAGACGATGATAGTTGCCTTTGACCAGAAATTTGCTGATGCTGATGGCCCATTGGTGATTGTCTCACTACTTGTTGGTGTCTTATATATTGAATGTGAATTTGTGAATTCCATCTTCGTTATTGGTTTTGGCACTCTTTTCTGGTATCAGCTTAACATTGTTGAGGTTTTTCTTTCTTTAATGGCAGTTGACAACCCCCATTGGTTATGCATTCGCTGTTCTTGATAATCTGAGCAGTAGTATCATAAGTTCTCTTTGATTTCCTACTTTCCTCTCGTGATCTGAGGTTGTAAACTCTTATTTTGTGAGATATTTGAGTTTCTGTTCAGAATTTTACTGGGATGTAGCTAATTGATGGTTGGTTTACCTCATCCTTAGCCTATTATGCATCCATGGCAATGGCATGGCATAATTTTGCTCAACTTACATGGACAGAACTGATTGTGTTGTCTCAAGTCCTTCTGTAACATTATCTTCCATGTTCAGCGGTGCATTTGGCTTGTACCCTCATACCATGTTTGCTAGTATACGGTCTCTTAACATTCTGATAGATGTATGGTTTAGGTAGATTCATTGAATCTGGATTATAGTTAGTATGGGTTGTTTAGCTGTTAGTATTAGTTAGTTAGTAGTTTCAACAATGAATAGTTATAAATACAGATTTAGATGGATGAGAAAGGGAACACGCAGAAGTTTGAGAAGGGTTAGGGTTTGTTTGGGGGATGAGAGTTGGGATCCTCTCATAAAACAAGATCATCCAAAGTTGTATTCAGGTTTCGGTGATGAATAAAGGCTAGATTTGTGCTGGAAAGTTGAGTTTCAGATTCTGAACCTTAACACATTCTTGATTTCAAGTCTTTTTCCCCTCTATGCTTGCTATTGTCCCATGTTAAGTTTCCAGCATTATCCTCTCTAAACTCCGGTTTCGCCTTTTTTTTTTCCATCTAAATGCAGCTACTGGCCGTCGCAAGAAAGAACGGTTCTGTAAGTGTTTTTTCTTGCTAAGCTGTGGAGTGTGGATTAGTGCAACACAATTTCTTTTCTCTGTAGAGCAGTTAACATTATAATTTAAACTTTTTCATGTTACTTTCATTGTTTTGCCGCAGATTGAAGTTCTTAATCCTCTCAATGGCGATCTTCACTTTGCATTCTCTGTATCTGGTGATGATGGCTGCCAATCTGAGGATGATGAAGTTACTGGTTTGCATTTATTCAGAAATCATAGAGTGGATCAGGAAAATAGGTACCTTGTCATCGACATTCTTTTCTTTCCATTCAGTGAATTTTATGCCATCGTTTATCTACATCTGATGCTTGTATGTCTTGAATTTGTGCATTATTAACATGTTTCAATCAAATATCTTGTTATTAGGGTTTGCAGGTTGCTCACATGCAAGAAAAAGGGAGATGTGAGCATCAGATCAATCAATTTCGCGAATGGACATGAGGATTCTATGGATAACACTTCTCCCGAATGTTGGAAAGCATGTGGTTCGGGTGAATTATCGTTCGGTAAAGTGGATGGAAGTGAAAACTTTGCCTTATTTGGAGGGTTAGTGATGGAAAACTCGCAGGTTTTGCATAATTCAAGAGTTACTATAAAACGTCTCTCGGTGATTCCTTTCCATACAATAACAAAGTATCATATCGAAATGTCTAGGAAACGGGTTGAAGTCAATATGTGGGATCTTGATAATTCTGCTAAGATATGGACTGCAAAATCGGTATGTTGCTTTCTCATCCTATCTTCTCAAACTATTAGCTCTTTATGTGTAATCTAACCGAGTTTTTGGTGGGCAGCCCGCTAAGAACAGTCTCGGAATCTTTACTCCGACTTGGTTTACATCTGCCACATTCTTGAGTGATGACAGTCACCATAAATTTGCCGCTGGAACTAACAGTCACCAGGTTAGATTTCAAAGAGACTCTTTTTTCCCCGGGTTTTGATAAATAAATACATGACATCCGTATCTTTCTTTCCCGGGGTAACTTGTATTACTTATCCTTAAAACAGGTTCGTGTATATGACATTTCTGCCCAGCGTAGACCGGTTCTGTCTTTTGATTTCCGTGAGACAGCCATCAAATCGATAGCCGAAGACCCAGATGGTCATACTATTTACGTTGGGAATGCTTCAGGCGACCTCGCCTCCTTCGATATACGCACCGGTACCCTTTGTCAAACCTCGAGTTCTGTATATGCTAGCACAATCATCAAAACAAAACTTTGAAAGGTCTATATGCTCCTACTTGTAGAAAACCCTCAATACAATCTTATTTAAACAAAAAAAAGAACTAAACTTTTTAAACCCGGCAAAAAAACCCCCGACGAATGTCTACTCGGCTAAGACAATCTCGGCCTCGGTCTATCATACTGCTTCAAATTTGTTCACAAAGTGGATAAAAAACCCAAAATCAAGTAAAATCTAAACCGGATGATAACCATTGAGATAATCGAACATTCACAATAGAAGAAGTAAAAATGTAGAACTCAAGAGAGGTTATTCTCAGTGGTGAAAGTGACGATATGATGCAGGAAAGATGATGGGATGCTTTGTGGGGAAGTGTTCAGGAAGCATAAGAGCCGTAGTTAGGCATCCACATCATCATGTCATTGCATCTTGTGGTAAGAAAAAACTTCATCTTCACTTGTATATGTTTCTGTCTCTGTTCATCAAGAATGAAAGTTTCAGATATATACACATATGTATGTATGTATTTGTCCTGACAACTTGGGATGGTATCTCAGGATTAGATAGATACGTACGAGTATGGGACGTGAAGACAAGACAACTCCTTTCTTCGGTAACAACGTTGTTCTTCTTCTACATCAAAACATTGAAACCCTGTTTCTGTCAATTCTCTCTCAGGACCTCCAACCTGTGTTGTTTTGTATGCAGGTTTTCTTGAAGCAGCATCTCACGGGTCTCGTTTTCGACTCGGGATTCAGTGGCAGCGTAGGAGGAGGTTAGTTACATCTAACAAGAATATACTATGCGTATATATTCCGAGATATCTGTAGTATATATGTCTCTGTAATAGAACTGACCGACCGTACATGAGATTATTCCGAATAGCGGTTGCGGCTGAAGGGAATACGGGAGAGCGGACTGCCGGGGACGAGGAGAGCGGAGATGAAGTGGAAACGGAGAGAGTTTCCGTGAAAACAAAGAAGTCGAAGAAGAAAGAGAAACGAAGCAGACAGAAGGTGGGAGGGGAGAAGAGCAAGAAGATGAGACACGACCAGGACTAAGTTTTTTTCTTTGGCGGGTTTTGATATTTTCGTTATAGTCCGGTCTGAATATGGATCTCTGTTGTTGTTCCTGCAGTTGAAAAAAAGAAAGTAAAACTGTTGTTTTTTACATTTCTCTCTGCATCAATGTTTTGAAATTTAGTGTATTTAATGTTATAATAGAATCAAAACGAACCAAATTTGTTACAATTTTAATTAGGTATAACTAAACCGAACTGTAATCATATCGGTTTGGTAATGAATTCTCAAAACCTAAAACAATGGGATGCGAATTAACCGAAATCAAATAAACCGAACCGAACCGTTTGTCCGCGTCTGCTCGTGATCATCGTGGGCGAACCCATTCCATCATCTGGTGGTCTCCGGGTTTTATTGTTTTGTCGGTCAAGCTGCAAGGAATTGCTCCAATGAGCATCGATAGAAATGGAAACAAGCTACATAATCAGCCTTGTCAAGTGTTTACATCTGTATTCACAGAGATTAACATTCGATTTCATCTGTCTTTCAATTGTTTCCAATCACGCCGCTATCAACTTAAATCCATATATAATTTCAGGGTCAAGACAAGAGGAGAAGAACGGACCGTCGAGTGTGAGAATTTTCAATATTTGTTTTACGACTCATCAATTTGAATAATGAGTCAATAATGCCATAAGTTTCACCTTTTCCTTCTTTCTTTTTTTTATTTATTTATAAAGTTTGATAATTTCCTCTTCTACGTCAAGGGTCAACACGAGACCACTAACATGTAATATTTTTCCATAACATATTTCTTTATATCCAAAAAAAAATATTACGCATTTTTTGTGATAGAATAGAATGGCAACAAGAAGATTGAAATAATTAAAAAATATATATATTCCATGAGTTACTACCAAACATAGGCTTTGAATGGTAGTGGCTTTTATTTTGGGTTTTTGGTTTTAGTTTTTGGTTTTTAGTTTTTAATTTTTGGTTTTTGGCTTTTGGATTTTATAATATTTGAAAACTCAAAAAAATAGCTTTTAGTTTTTCATTGATTTTTTTACTAAAATGGCTTTCCAAGTTTTTAGAAAAAGTAATTTTGTAAAAACTTGAATGTTGTTTTTTTTGGTTTTTGGATTCTAAAAACTCTAAAAACTCCCACCATTCAAGGCCATAATTATATCACCTCCACTTCCCAAAACGACCAAATAGATGAGAGGGATCACATCATATATTATAAATAAAGATTACACTTCAATTATGACAACAAATACATACAACAACAAAAAAATATAACAGAAAATATAAATTACACATACACATATACAATATAGTATTCGAATTATCTACTGGATGATAAAAGAGATAACGATCTTTGAATAATTTTCAGATCAAAGACACGATAAACTTTTGTATTATAAAAAAAATATATTGATAGGTTTTATATTTTTTAGTCATTTTCTAAGACAATGCATTAAATTGAAATATATTCTCAAGAAAGATATTATAAACATACAAGGATATTACGTACGTATTTAACCCAATGGTTCAACGCATTACGCGAAAGATCAAATGATACAACTAATATATTTTTATTATACTCATAAAATACAATGCATAGAAATGGACCTCTTCACTTAATTACATCATATTTATACATAAACATTCTTCTCTCTAAGCCTTTTGTGTGTATATACATAAATGCCCCAACGAATGAATGTAACTATATTGACATCACCAAACCAAAAAAAAAAAAAAAAATTATAAAACCGGTACGGATATGGACATTTGAACTGATACATCAGTTGCAAAGCCACCTTCTCTGTTACCATTACCTGCGAATTAACCAATTTGGTTAATAACCAAACCGAATGTAAACCGAATAAAATATAACTGTAATTGAATCTAATTCTATATCAAAACCTAATGTTTTTTAATAAAAAACCAGACCGGATAAGAAAATAACCGTTGAAACCCTTTTTTAAATAAAAAGAGTACTATTTATCGATAAAAACCGCATGTGAACCGAAAAAATTCGATATAAAACCCTAATGGATATAGTTTTTCTAAACCTGAAATAATCGAATCCAAATATAATCGAATTGAAACCCGAAATGATCTCCCTTACCTGCGATACCGTATCCTCCCGATAACAGAGCTGCGTTTTCGCACCTATGGAAAACCCGAGCCAAGGAGGCGGCTTTCCGCCGGGCTCGCTTCGTGCCCGTGAATAGAATCATTTGGATCAAACCCGAGAGAGATGGAACCCTCACAACCTTCTCTGCCATCGCAGAACCACCGCTCCTGCAGAGTCCGAGCAATGCAGCCACTGCATTCTCTTTCCCCCGAGCCGTTCCACATCTCATTACGGCCACGAGCCTCGAGACAGCGGATTCTTCCTTTCCTATGGCCTCTGCCCCTAACGGTTGCCTCACCATTAAAGCCAAAGCTCCTGCTGCTTCCTCTGCAACTCCCTCTTCCTCCAATGCCCCCACTAGGGCTAATACCCCTCCATATTCAATCATATTTCCGCAGTTTTCCAGATGGGTCGATAAGTTATACATTGCCGTTACCGCGTCTTTCTTTCCTCTCGGTGTCCCGTTTTGAAGCAGCGAGGCTAAAGCCCGGACGCAGCCTTCGGTACCCGCTATCTGTTTCTTGTAATTGTGTATTGCAGAAAGGCTGAACAATGTGGCTGCAGCGTTTTCCCGTGCTTCTGTGGTCAGACCTGAGATGAGAACGCTGACTATCGACTCTAAACAGCTCTCTTCCTCCATGATCCGAGTCTTGTTCTTCTCGTAGATGGATAGATTCAGCATCGCTGTCACAGAATTCTCTTGCACGATAGGGTTTCTGGATTTGAGAAGCTTGCACAAGTGCGGAATTGCCCCAACCTCTGCAATATACGCACGGTTTTCCTTTCCGGTTTTGGCCAGAAGGCGTATTTCCCGAGCAACTACTCTCTGAGCGGATTCCGATCCATTTGCCAGATTCTTGATTAGGATCGATACAGTGGCTTTGTTAGCTTCCATCGCAGCTTTCGTGGGAAGAACCGAGACAAAATGCTCGTTCGGCGACTCTGTGATCTCCGATTCGTAATATATGCCACTGGCCGAACACCATTGCAGTATCAAGTTCTTGAGAGCTCGATTAGGGATGATACATGAGTCCATGAGCATTTGCCCGGTTTTCGGACAAGAACAGTGTCCTTCTTCAATCCACCTAACAATGGAGCTTCGATCATAGGTTTGTCCTGTCGAAACAATTACAGGATCCTTCATCAAATCAAGAGAGATAGGGCAGACAAAATCCTTTGGAATCGTGACAAAAGTGTCCCCAATCTCCTGTACGATGAAACCTTTTCTGGGTTTTTTCGGATTCTCGATTTTCCACTCCGATCCTTCTTCATCCAATCCAAACAGCAAAAACCTGCAGTAACGTGTGATCGCCACGAACCCGTTAATCACCGATCCCGCAGGCTCAACATCGCCGTCATGATTCGCAATCTGTTCTTCCAGAAATTCGATTTCAACTCTGCAACTCTTCGAATCCACAATTCCCAGTTTCTCTACGAAGAACGATCTCAGTTCCGACGAATTGGGCATTCGACCGTTCTCGAATTCGTCGAGAATGGAGTAAAACCTATACCTAAGTGCTTCGTCGTTTCCATCAACACACAGTTTCGTGTTCCTCGATTGCTTCTGCAAGAGCTCGATCTGCTCTCTAATGTCATCGCTCAAACCGAGATCGTTAACGGGGAAAACATCCAAAAGAGTCGAAATCTCTTGACCCAGATCATGAAAATACCCTGAAATCGATGGGTTTTGCAGCAATAGCCATAGCTTACTCGATTGAGAGCAGTAGTCAAGGAGGATTTTGGAGCGGTAAAGAAGAAGGTAGAGCTCCTTCAGACATAGCTCCGCCGTGTGAGATAGAACCCGACCAAGACCCGATTCGGACAGATAATCGAACAGGACGACGAAGACTTCGATCTTACGAATCAGTGAACGAGCGTTCCTACGTTGGGAGAAGAAGTGTACGCCGCCGAAGCACGAGACAACCTCCGACGAAATCAGTGCCAGGGTTTGGACGAGAGCGACGCCGGAGAGGTTGACCGGAGCGAGGAACGCCTCCAGAGACGGCGATCTCCTCCGCTTCAGGGATGAGAAAATTGCGGCGCTCGCCATGGACAATCAGGAGGAGGATAAGAGGAAATCCGGTGGATTTTCTCGGAGAATCAGCTGTCTTTTGCCCAGATGAGAAAAGAATCGATGAAACGTAGAAAATACACCAAAAAAGGTCAAACGGAAAATCTAAATCATGGGTTTGAAGGGTCACAAGAGAAGAACAAGCGAGAAAGGATTAATAAGAGAAAAAGAGGAGGAAGAAAACTCCGCGTTTGGGAGACGAGAAAAATAAAGGCCAGAATTTTCTCGCACTTTCTCTCTTAGCTGGTGCGATTTTTCTCTCTCTAGGAATTTGCAGTGTAGTTTCTGTGGGAAACAAGAAAAAAAACAGCCGAAGGGTTGAGGCTGAAACCGTTTTTTATTTTTATTTTCTTATAGAGATCGAGATAATAATGTTATCTTCTAGATTTCATGTTTTTATTTATTTTGGTATTATTAAATATTTTATTTTACCATTAATATGCTACAGAATCTCGAAACTATTAATGAATTACCCCGTAGTTAATGCCACTGTAAATATTTATTCCCTCGCTTCGCTATGCCTCTTTTATTTCTTTTTCTTAATTTAAAAAATAATTAAATTTCTCGCTAAAGATGTTAGAAATGGTGACAATTAGTCTATAGATTTTATGTACAAAAATGTTTATTATATATATATATATATTATATATGAGAATCTCTATCATTTTTTAATTTTACGATTATCAGTTTTTTTTTTTACAGAACAAGAATCCTCGGTCTGAGAAAGTAATTTCAATTTGGAATTGAGATTTTTCTCTATTTAACAAAGAAAAAGGTGTAAGAAGTGAAAAAGGGTTGGTTGACCAGAATCAACGCAATCCAACCAACTCTGAAGCTTTGACTTAAGCCCCTCTTTGATTACGTAATAAAAATACAGTATCGTTTTGCAAAAAATATTAAATTATATTAAATTCCCACAGTCTAATAATTCATGCAAAATTAAAATAAATATTAAAAATAAATAAAATGAGAATTATAAACCCGACTATGTGCAATTTTTTTTTTATTCCAAGAGCAGGAGAGAAAAAAACAAAGGGGGTTTAGCAACAAATTCTGAATTTTGTGTCACAGTGGCGTATGGTATGGGGTTATTCAATGAATGTAACATGGACCGACCACGGTTTCAGCAATATAATAATAAAATAGTTACTACCTATGACCAAGGACAAGAATGAATAAAATAAGATAGGGTTATAAAGCATATAACGTCTGCATTTTCATTGCATTCATACATCATTTTCACATTTTTTTTTCTATCTGGTCAGGAAAGAAATTTCAAGTTTGAACGTAGAAGCAAGAGACCCTTCATTTTGTAAGACAACTCACTCCGTTTCTCAAATTCATTAAATATATAAATAAAAACTTTTTTTTAGTTAACTGTGGACATTTTATTTGTATTATCAAATTTTCAAAGAGCTGAATATTCTTGAAAAAACTATAGAGAAACACATTTTGATTTTTCCCTCCACGAAAAACATGCGTTAAGAAGGAACTTACAACCATCACGACTTCAAAGACACACACAGCTAAAACATTACACCAAATGCCAAAAGGGTTAAATACAGAGAGAGAGAGGGGGGGGGGGG